CTAATAGCAATGACCTCCGAGCCAATAGGAAAGCCCTCAAACCTACCTACAAGCCTACAATAGCCTCCAACCTAATAGCAATGGCCTCCAACCTAATAGCAATGGCCTCCGACCTAATAGCAATGGCCTCCAACCTAATAGCAATGACCTCCGACCTAATAGCAAAGGCCTCCAACCTAAGAGCAATAGCCTCCAACCTAAGAGCAATGGCCTCCGAGATAAGAGCAATGGCCTCCAACCTAATAGCAATGGCCTGCAACCAAATAGCAATGGCCTCCGACCCAATAGCAATGGCCTCCGATCAATAGCAATGGCACCTAATAGCAATGGTCTCTGACCTAATAGCAATGGCCTCCAACCTAACAGCAATGGCCTCCAACCTAAGAGCAATGGCCTCCGACCTAATAGCAATGGCCTCCAACCTAATAGCAATGGCCTCTGACCTAATAGCAATGGCCTCCAACCTAATAGCAATGGCCTCTGACCTAATAGCAATGGCCTCCGACCTAATAGCAATGGCACCTAATAGCAATGGTCTCTGACCTAATAGCAATCGCCTCCAACCTAATAGCAATGGCCTCCAACCTAAGAGCAATGGCCTCCAACCTAATAGCAATGGCCTCCAACCTAATAGCAGTCGCCTCCAACCTAATAGCAATGGCCTCCAACCTAATAGCAATTGCTTCGGAACTAATAGCAATGGCCTCGAACCTAATAGCAATCGCCTCCAACCTAATAGCAATGGCCTCTGACCTAATAGCAATGGCCTCCAACCTAATAGCAATGGCCTCTGACCTAATAGCAATGGCCTCCAACCTAATAGCAATTTTTTCGGAACTAATAGCAATGGCCTCCAACCTAATAGCAATCGCCTCCAACCTAAGAGCAATGGCCTCCAACCTAATAGCAATGGCCTCCAACCTAATAGCAATCGCCTCCAACCTAATAGCAATGGCCTCCAACCTACTATAGGTATGGCATACTATGGCCTTCATTTGGAAATTATTCGTTTAGTATAAGGCTTTCTGTCCTTTTCTGTTTTGACTGACTTCTAAATGCTTCTAAATGCTTCGATGCGCTCACCCTTTCTCGCCTCAGCTTTCTCGCCTCCAGGTATGTCATCGAGCACCATCTGAATCTGAGGACTGTATGTCACACACACACACACACACGCAAGAGGTGAGGATCATACCCTGGTTTTGGGGGGTCATTGTAGGCATATATGGCAGTTGCATGGAGTGTTTGGGTACTACTTGGGCAGATAAATCATGATGTTGATATGGATCATGATGGACATCAGTAGGCAGATGGGGAGGTTGGGGAGGTTGTCCGAATTGGTTCACTGGGTGAGGAACATAGGGGAACCACCAATCAGACATCTTCCCAGTCGAACTGGACCTACCGCAGTCAGACATCTTCAGTAGATCAAGTCATTCCACCTCGTCTCAAAAGCAGGTTTCACCATGGTTTCACCATGTTTCATCCATCCAACAACACCCCCCCCTTATAATTCCACCAGACCAATGGATGTCCCTTCCGGAACAGCCCCAGCCAACCTCGCCCGCCTCCAGGAACCCCTCCGGCTACATCATGAGCACCGTCGCCCGCGGCTTCGTCCCGAAAGATCGCTCACGGCTGCGTCCCGCGTTCGGCGGAGGTGCCGATTGGGCGGAGACCAAGTAAAACACGTGGGGGGGGGGGGGGGGGCGTTTGGGGTGCTGTGTAGGGCGTTGTCTTAGGGTTCAAAAAGAAGCTGACAGGGAGAAGCTCCCTTCAAAAAGAGGTGTGAGGCCTACGTAGTGCTGTAGGTGTGGGGAGTGTTGCATCTGGATTTCCGTTCCCATGTCCTCTCAAAGGCAACTGATGAGTGTGGGCTCCTTTTTGACGCAACCCATCGATGCATGTGCCCAGTAAATCCCAGAAAGATCCAGAAAGCCCTGCAGATGCTGGAGGTCCACATTTCAATTATTTTGGGCAGAAACACTTTGGCAATGACTGCCTTGTAAATACCATGGCCATCCATGGGAGTGCGTTCTATGAGTTTCCATTTTTCACGCAGCGTTTTGCGCAGGTGAGCGGTCCGGTCACAACCGCTTCAACTCTTGGGGAGTGCTCCTTGGCACGTCTGATGTGACGTCCAGTTGAGGCACTGAAAGCAAGCAAATCGCTATTAGGTTGGAGGCCATCGCTATAAACTGAAGGCAAGCAAACCAAGCAACATGGGCCTTGTGTTGTCCCAACAGACCGCAGCATTTCTTATCAGCCTCGGCCAAGAGCAGAATGTTTGGACATGTTTGGGCCCTTCTCACGCAGCTGAGACTTCGTGTCACGAATTCGTGTCACAACTCGGGTTGTGGTGACAGCTTGTATCTCTGCGCAGCTGAGGAATCCGGGCATCATTCCGCCAGACTTAACACCGCTGGAAAGGCCCTTTCCGATCCAACGGACTCGCGACTCGAACGGAGCGAGCGGAAGCTACTACACCATAGTACACCGATAGATTGGAGCAAGACTCCATGCTAGCGCATGTTGTTTTGAATCCTGGATTTTGAATGCCCTCAAAAAGATTCAACAAGTGCATCATGATATCTTACGGGGGAGGCCATCGCTATGGGGGGCGAGGTGATGAGGTTTATGACGGGACTGCCATCGTGTGCCACCGGTGTACAGGCGATGCTTGCAGATAAACAGCACGGTCCCGCAGCATCAACGCATTGATGTGCCGACCTACCTGGCCCTCAGATGTCTGCCCACGTGGCCTGGCGAGGGTGGTTTGGTCCTGGACGAATTGGGACATGAACGACAGACATTTAGGGGTTCAACAGTTGCCGGGGTTATGGCAAGGATCTCAAGTTTCTGGCTGGACAAATTTGGACCGAAATATCTCTGGATCATATCTCAAGGATATAATTGCTGGCTTGGTTCAGAGAAGAGTGTTTTGCCTACAAGTGCATCTTCAGGGGTGCTCAGCTTGCCATCGATTTCAACTCACCTTCATCACATTTCATCACCTGCTTTATCTTGCTTTCGTCGCTTGAGGAACGAGCTGTTCGGGTCTGTGCCTCATCGCCAACGACTGCACAACCCGTCGACCGAGGCGTCAGGCCTTTGAAGTCATGGACGTTCTAGAAGCTCGGGACCCTTCAGAGGCTCCGGCTCGGTTTTTTTTTCTGGGTTCGGAACCTGTCCACCGGTCCACAAGAGACCTGTCTACAGTCGACTCTCTGCGTGTTTTTGGGACTCGCGTCATGGGCTTCTGAACATTTGGTAGAATAACAATGATAGGGAGGTATCAGTTGAAGATAGTTGAAGACTGCAGCAACTCCTGGGACTTGTCTTGCTTCCTCCGTCTCCATGGACCCGCAAATTGGCCAGAGCAAGGAGGGATCTTGGGCTCGGAGTTTTTTCTTGCAGGAAATCTTCGGCTTCTCCACTCATCCCCTCCTAGCAGATGAAATGACGTTTCAGGTGGCAAAAAGGACCATTTGATCCACGGCGGAAAACCATTGGAAGATTCTTCCGACCGCACTTCACCCTGCAGGTCGGCAGCATTTGCAGCTACTTGAAGGCGACAGTGAAGAGAGCGGCGAAGCGAAGGATGTGAAAGAACCGGTTCTGTGAACATCATGGCATCCCAGAACAACCAAAACCACGCATAACATCTATCACTTACTCTTTTGATAGGTTGGGGAGTAGTACAATATGAGGAGGGAAGCACAATATGTCTCTGTTTGGAGGACCTTTGCTGGCATACTGTGCGACTGTGCTTTTTTTGTTTTGTTCATGAAGCAGTGCACCAGCACACGAGTTGGAACACTTCTGGAAAGAACAACATCTCGAACGCATCCGAGCCCCACAGCAACCTCAAGACCGCGCATTCTCCGCCAGACAGCAGTCTCGACGATTCAAGGTTCACGGGATGGTTTTGTGGGACACTCTGTGAGATTCTGTGAAGGCAAATGTAGAAAGATCAAAAACCTGAAGATGTTGCTTGCTTGCACATGAGTTACACGACCAGATGTAAAATTAATCAGAGCTTTTTAAAAAAGCTCACCACACATCTAGCACTTGCGGGATGCCAGGCAAAAACCAGGAGTTCGGGCCTCGATTGGAAGCAGAAAAGGTTCACAACTGAAGGATGCCAAATGATGAGGGTCTCTCAAAACACTCAATGGGCAAGCACCGTCAGTCCCGAGTAGGCGGTTGCTTTAGCTTCCTTAAGTCTTCAAGCTCGAACTGTCACTTTTCCAACGAAGTGTTGTTTCTAGTAGCTCTTTGCTACTAGTAATGCCAGGAGCGCCCCGTTCGTAGCGTTCGACCGCTCAGTTCGTAGCGATGCCCTTTGTCACTAGTAGCGTCCTTTGCTACTCTCTCATGAGCACGAAACATGCGCCTTCCTAAGGCCGAAAAGTGGCGAGAAGCGGCAAAAACTATCGTAGCGAAGAAAAACAGCGTGGCGAGAAGCGGTCATGACTTGCACATGACGATGGATTGCAGACAAGACAGAACAAGAAGCTACGAGCGGGGCTCCTGGCATCGCTACGAACGGAGCAAGGACGCTATGCTAGGGGGCTCCTGGCCTTACTAGGAACAAGGTTTGCTACGAACGGAACCAAGGGCATCGGACCCCGAACGGAGGAACCCCTGCTTGGCTTCGAAGCATCCAGACGATCCGATCCACCCGATCCGTTGGATCTGACGATCCGCTGAACCGATCGGCCCGTAAACACGCCGGTCGATCCAATGAGCCGAGTCGATCTGTTTTGGGAAGCGAAGGGATGTTGCTTGCTGAAGCAAGGGGTGATCTGTTTCGATCTTTCTTTCTTTTCTTGTTTCGTTTCTAGCGATAGCCTCTCTACTAGCAATGGCCTCCATCTTAATAGCAAACCAAGTATATTTGAAGCATTCTGAAGCCCAAGTCAGGCATAAAACCAAGTAATATCTAGAATGCCACATCGAGTTGCTTCATTCAACATCACATATCGCATAACATAACAATCCTTGCACTTCAAAAGACGATGTGCGGTCATGGCGGTCATGGCGGAGACGGTTCGGATTGACGTGCGTGCATTGAGCGGTGAGCAGGTTGCAGAGGCGCTTGGACCCTGATGCATATCATCAGGGTCCACGAAATCAGGTGTTCTGTACATCGTTTGGTCAAACAGACGCTTTTTTTTTGTAGACGCGAGACCAATAGTGACCAATCCTACCCATATGATTTCAAGGGTACAGTGCGCTCAGAACTGGCCCACTTTGACTTTGACATGATTTCATGTCCCACTTGTGGTACATGCGCGGTACAGAGAAGTTGCTTGCTTTTCCTGGTGTTTGTTCCAAAGAAGCCTTCAGGTGGTCCTGCCGCGCAAATCCTCTGGGGAAGAGCTTCATCGCTTGGTAAACTTGAAGGCTACAACACTGGCATTTCGATGGCAACTGGTGTGCCTTCTCTGAATTATGATTGGTTTGTTGCACGTGTTCGTTTGGGGATTTTGCGTGTTTGGTTAACCATTTTTGACCGGAGACCCGTGCCGTTTGCTCGGCCGGCATGTTTCGCTCGTCCACCGAGTTCGCTTGGACTCGCTCCGCCTCCCTTCGCTCCGCCGAGCGCGCTCCGCCGCCCGTCTCGAACCGGCGAGTTCGTTCCCTCGCCGAGTGCGCTCCGCCCGGGGATGGACGGCGAGGCGGAATGCAGCGCCCATCGAGGGAGCAGTGGAGCTGGTGGACGGCGAGGCGGACGGAGAAGTGAGGGAAGGAGACAGTCAGGAACGTAGGGGGTGGAGAAGCGAAGGAGAAGTGAGGGAGAAGTGAGGTCCTTCACGAAAATCAATGCTGCCAGAAGATAGCAGGACTGCTTTTCCAGCATCAGTAGAATCATGGTTGAGAAATTCTAAGATTCCTTCACGAGGTCCAAGATCTCAAGAACCTGAAAGAGCATGGAAGTAGAACTCGGCCTCCCAAAAGACCCTCGTCCTTGAGACGCTAGCTCGTTCCACCTGAAGTGTTTTTCCAGCATTCCTGACAGGTCCTCTTCGCAACACGACAGCCCTGCACAGCTACTCAGGCACGTGCGAGCACTGTGGAAGTTGCAAGTGAGTCCCAGCGCCCGAGACGGAGACCGAGCGCCCGGAAAGCAGGTGCATCGACTGCCATGGGGCGAGTGCCGCCTGCCGGACTGCTACCAGCAGGCCACACAGGGCTGAGGAGGTTGTTTTTGATGTGTGGAGGCCATCGCTACTAGGGTGTGTTTCTCTTGCGTGAAGTCTTTAAGCTTTGACAAGCTGGCTGAGTTCGCATGAGAACATATAATGGTGTGTTCTACGTAACAAAGGGCATCGCTACTAGTAACAAAGGGCCTTACTACTAGTAGCATTCTTGCTAGATGTTTCCAGCGCCAGTTGTGCCCAAAGATAGAGACAGCTGGGGATGCGTCCCAGCACTACCTCCAGCTTGAACACCTGGCTTTCGGTTCATGGCATCGCTCCCAACGTTCAGGTGACCAATGTGGAGCATCGAAAGGGCTGGGGCCGAGCGTTGGCATCGCAGATGAAGGAGCCAGAAATGGTTGCTGTGAGGAAAATATGAAGGAAACATGGGTAAACTTCAGGTGGAATTCTTGGACAAACTATGACAAACTCATTGTTTGAAGAATTGATTCCTGCATGGTGTACTTGTTTTTTTTGCTTTAGCAAGAAATCATTGATCAGTAGTCCAAACGAAATCTAGTGGATCACTGCCGTTCATGGTTTTTGCAGGTTCTATTCCGGAAAGTCCCCTGCTGCTTCCGGACCGCGGAGAAGCTCTTCAACGAATATTCCTTCTTGAAGGAGGTTCAGAAACGCAGTCCCAGCAGACGATCCATTAGCACTTCGCAGTGGTTGTTTATTTTTTTTCACATCCTCCGTTTCTTTTTGCAGTAGTGAACGTCTTACGTTCTCACGGAAACGAATGGTGCTCTTCGAGCGTCTCGTGAGGCCAAGAGTGTCCATACCATCAACGTCATGGACTTGTTCGTCTCCCCAGGCGTCACACGAACGGACGTGCGCGAGTTCCGGGGGGGCGAGTCCCCAGCCTAAGCTACGAACGGAGCGAGTTCTTTGGCACAAGTTGTTCACAGAATTCTGCGAAGGACTGGGGCAGAGTGCTGAGATTGAGGGTCACTTTTTGCATGTCAGGTGTTTGTGAGGAGGTATCCTTGTATCATGTTTTTATCATGTTGTATCCAGATGTTTGTAGGGCAATCGACACGACAAGACCCTCTCAACACCAATCTAACTCGCATACCTAAAGCCTTGTTGCGCGTTGGATACTGCAGACATCACAGTGACACCCTGCTTGTCGATTGCAGAGGCGACCCTGATGGTGCAGATATGCAGGGTGACATCTATTCCGTCTTTGAACACATGGATCTTTCTTTGGCAATGATGCTGCGGCGCTTCCACAAATTGCCATCTCGCTTAGATAGCAGCTTGGACCTTTGCATATAGAACTGACTGGTGTGTCTTGTGCGTGTTGATCTCATCATATGATTAAGAATGATTGACATCTTCATGAACGCGTCCTTTCCTGGGGGGGCTCGTGTGCAAGAAGCTGTTTCTTGGTGTTTGTCAAGACATGTTCCTCCTGTTCATCACTAGGAACAACATGTGGAGGTATGTCCAGCACGGCTGAGCACAGCTTTCGCCCAGTTTGTGACTACATTCTCTACGGTGTGGTGAGGGGTTTGCAGTACATCCACAGTGCTCGAGTGGCGCACGGCGATCTTTGCCCAGAGAATGTTTGGCTGAGTCTAATCTGAAGTGGTCGACCATGAGTTCTGGCTCGCGTGAGCGACAACTCACCTCTAGGGAAAAAATCTTGGGTTCATTGTGGTGACATATTTAATTCATTCTCCATGGCTGAGACTAAGACAGAACGGAAACACCAGCAAGTGGTCCTGCCCTCACCTGAGATGATCAGAAAGTGCGGGGGTCCAAGTACGAAGATACCGGCATGAAGAAGAAGAAGAAGGATGATCATGATGATGATTGGCAAGCAAGTCTTCCCCACCCTCAACCTCCCCTTCGGAGGTCACTGAAAGCTCCAACCTAAGAGCGATGGCCTCCAACCTACAAACGACAGCCTCCAACCCCATAGCAATGGTCTCCAACCTAGAAGCAATGGCACCTCCAACCTACTAGCGATGGCCTCTAACCC